GGCCAATTACAGATACAGCACAGAGATAAACTCACAAATACAGTAAAACATAAAAGGTAAAACAAGCAATATATAAAATACATTGATACGGAAAGTACACAAAAAATTACTACTAACTACATTAGGATATTTGTAAAATAACATGCATCAATTAAGTAAATTATGCTATTATAGAATATGATTAAGTGTGACAATTTTCGTCTCGAATATGTCCAAATCCCTGCAGACAACATTAGCAGCTGATGCGCATCTAGCAGAAGGACTGTTTTTGAACAAGGGGCTAAAACTGAACCTAGAAACATCTCTCAGATTCCGAGCAGGGATGCGGAGACCGATAGCTTCCAGAAGGGAAGGACAGCATTTAAAACCGCGGTAAACCTGCGCAAGGAACAGTGCATCACTACAATGCCTTCTCATTATTCAGTATAACCTCTTTCCGTAACAATGCGGGCACCCAATAAAAGCCTTGGCGGGCGCTCGCGGGCACAGCGTTGGGGACCACTGATTTAACACATGGTATTGTCCTATATTAGGATCTGAGAAACCAGGAATTTTCTTCATTTTGTGTTATAATAAAATACTCTTTCGGGGTGGACATATATGTTATGAGTAGCACTGTACAGTGTGTTTGTTTGCTGATGCTGTACTGCAGATTTTGTTAAACCATCATTAGGCTAGATTTCAGGTTCTCATGGCAGTGAGTGTGCACACTACAGTGGTCACATGTTATAAATATATTAACATGTTAATAACATTTTTCCAGCATATCCAATAACTTTTCCCCATTATTGAGTAGTTTGACAGCATTCTGTCTGAACTTCATACTAGCTCATACCCAATCTGAGTTCCATCGTGTTTATTAATATTTACTATATACCATAATTTTAACAAAATCTCACAGTTTTGTTCTCAGCACCTTCACTTATATTCACATTGTCTTTCACATCTCCCTTTGACCATATTTATATTTAAAGCACATTTACTCTTATGCAGTGTAATTATTTGTACATATCTGTTATACTGTTGGCAGAGCCACTTATCAGCAGAATTAGGTTTTGCCACTAATGTGCAGCATGATGAAAATTTTTATTTTATAGAGGGGAGATACCAAGTTATTATTAGTCTGGAAAAGTCAGGGAAGAATACTGGAAAGAGGAGACAGATGTATTTGCATTCATTATGACTACAGTATGAAACAGATGAAAGCATCTACAGCAGTTCTAAGCGAGAGAAAATTTTTAAATTTATTTCTGTGAATTACATGCGATGGACTGGTAGCTGTCCAAACTGTGTGAACATATGTATGTTGTTGCCATATAAATGTATTAGAATAGAATAACTGTACCTGTCAATTTCCATTTCTTATTTTTAAGGTTTTGCTTTTATCATGCTGTCTTGACATCTTTGTCGTTCTTAAATAATTATAATATTTTAGTTCTAAAGCATGTTCATCTCCGTTGTGGTGATATTGTTTAAATTGGGATAAAATAGTAAGTTGTATTGTTTCAGTTCAGACATAGACTAGCCTGAACTTAAAATGAATAGCATAAAGAAGGAGGATTACATTTTTCACCACATTAAGCACTTTGCTTATCAGTAGTTTTCATTTAGTTTTTATTTGACTCACACATTCTGAACAGGTTGGAGCTGCCATCTCTATGACATATATCACGGGCCAGCCTATTGTGTTTGTGGGTACAGGGCAGACCTATACAGATCTCAAGTCTTTGAATGCCAAGGCCGTCGTACATGCCCTTATGAAGTGAAGAGGCTCTTCAGTCTTTGAAGCAGGAAGATTATACAACATTCTAAATTTATCAGATAGTCATTTTATTAGCAGAATTTTGATATTTTAATTCCTTCTTTGTAAATGTATTTTAATAGTGTAAAACAGAGTATCCAATCATGTGTTTTGACTCTGACAATATACATTCTTTCCTGCGCAACATATCTGAAATATTGTTTTCTTTTTAACACTATTGTTTGTTACTATTCTTCACCATCTTGATTTATAGTTGTCATATTTGTAAAAATTTTATAAGATGTGTTTACTTTATAATTGAAAATGAAATATATCATGTGACATGTAACTCAATTTAACAGTTGGATGAAATGTCCAGATATCAACAGCCTTTCATCACTGTTACTAAAACTACTAGGTCTCATATGTTGATGTTGATGAGAGCAAAAAGACTTGTTAGACAAAGTCAGTCTATAAAGGACATTTTGTAATACAGTCTTAAGATCCTGAGGAACTGATATGTGAGTTCGCATCTTGAATAATTATTTTGTGAGTAATATATGACTAATTGTGCAAGTCTGTTAGTGGCCACCCATCATACTCCACTATTTCACTTGGATATCATTGTTGATGCAGATGGATTGCCACCACCCATTACCATAGTCATCTACATGGTGGAGGTAGCTTTTGGTGTAGCATCTGCTACTTTAACAGTATTGATCATTGTTAATATTACTTCAAGTGGTGTATATATTATATCTCTGGATTAAATAAACATCTTCTCCTAGTTTGTGGAATTCCTTTCAATATTTGACAGTTTATTAAGCCTAGAGGATGTTGCATAATTAGGAACTTCATGATTTCTTCAGTTGCAGTATTCTTAGGACAGTTCATTCTAAGTTTAAAGGGCAGGGCAGATATCTTGAAGAGAGGAGATGGGATATACAAACAAGATTCTGATAGTCAAACCTCTTTCTTTTGAATCCTGCACTTACTTGATGAGACCCCATTTTGAATTACGTGTTCAATATGAATGTTCTTACTTGAATCTAGATACATTTTCACAATTTCATTTTCTATTCTTCTATTTGGAATTCATTGTGAAAATTGGTTCTAATGTGTCCTCACAATGCTATTTTTTTCCCCATTAACAGCTCTACAGCATTTTAAACAAATGTAGATACTTTTATTTAATTTATATTTTTACCCATGTAAGAAATGTTAAATTATGTTTGTTTAATTTATATGAATTTTTAAAGCATAAAAGATGGCATAATATCCTATGATTGATATTAAAATTATAAATACTTTTTGTAGTAGGTAGTGGAAACTTGTACTGACACAAGATAAATATAGTCATAAAATTGTTTGAAACATTTGCCCAAATGTGTATTAATCTTTTGTTATATTGATTTTTGTTTATTACAAAGGACAGTATGCTGGTTTTGATAAGTTGGTGGATTCTTTTTTATAACAAATATACTGGCTCTCTCGCCAGAACTTCTTAGTGCAAACTTTTCACAAAGTAGAAATAAGTGGTGTCATTATTTGGTGCTTATTTTGTTGAAAGAGTGAGTAATTTACTTTCCCGTTGATGTATGTTTAGTTTTGTGTTCTGAGCCACAAATTGTCACATTCAGGTGCACATTTATATAAGATATTTAAACCCATGTTTAGACATTGTGTATGTGCTGCCATCTTATGACTGCTATGTCTTACTATCGTGATAAATTGTAATGGAACATCATGTCTTTGCTTGATGTAATATATGCCATGTAACAGTCGGACTTTGATATAATATTCGTTGTTAATTTTGTCTTGTACTAAGTCCAGTGAACAGTGTAAATGAGGGATTTTATTCGCATGAATGCAAAAATGTGGCACATTATTGAGTTTTAGCAGATTTGTGAAGTTCTTCCTTTTAGAAGGATATGTTCTGATTGACCTCACGACCCATGTTCAAGGATTTTCAATTGCGCGACAAATAAGTGCCGAAGGTTTATCGTCAAATATATTGCTTCGTGTTAAAAGCGCAGATATATTAATGGAATATATAAAGTATGTTTAATCTTTAAACACACTTCTTGTTAGAGACATTCAGTGTAGAAAATATAGTGTTTCGCGGAAGTATTTATAATATCCTCCCTCCAAGTACTCAGTCGGCCATTACATGGTGCTCACATGACCCTGTTGTTTGGCCCCGTGATCAGGTCGGCTGGCTTCCTGGCAAATTCAAAACTTTCACAAAGTGCTTTCTCATGGATATGTTAGATCATACTTTGGAAAGCAGGTATGTTGTTAAAATGGAGCTGTGAAGCCGGTCAGTAGACGAGACTACGTATCTATTTCCCCAATCTTACGACGAAGGTCACTTGGTAAATGTGTTCGTCGTATCCTGACTGTATAGTAGGTATTGCCATGAGGTCTTATCAATTTCTTATCACAGTTCATTGGAATTTGCCTCACAGTGGTTAATATTAATTAAATTATTCGAAGGTTGGTGACATAAGTTTGGGTTCTCTACTTTGGGTAACTGCTGTACACGGACGGACAGCTACAGATGAAATATGGTTTTTGCCTTGCAGTCTTATTCTTCTTATTAGCAATTTGTAGAGGTGAAAGAAACATTGATACTTAAAGTTATACTTGATTGTAATGCCTTTTAATTCTAGAGGTGCTGTTTCTGAAATGTTGACAGGAGAGTTAAAAATATGCAGGAAGTGGTACATACAACTACTAATAGTTTGAAGTATTATACAGAACATGATTGTAATGTTTATTTTATTTATTGAGTATTTAACAGTGCATTAGTACTTTTGACTTAATAGCAGCAAATTATAGAATGTTTATGAATTATGGAATTGGATAGGAAGTTGGGGGAAGGGGCCTTGCTCAAATTTAATTTGCTATCTTGGTATTTGTCAGTGTTAGCCTTATGGGTATTATTGCTAAGTTTGAATTAGCATGGTTTGTCTTATATAGCATTGCATTTAGGAATTCTTGATAGAATTGTAAGTTTGTTGTACTGACCTGCATCACTTTCAGTGTGAGTGAATTATTTGATAGTAGCCTAAAACAGCATCGAACTGCATCTTCCATGTCTTGTCAGTTCATAAATGCATGCCTGTAAAAGGATTCTGTTTAAAATTGTACTATTGAAAAAAAGTATACTATAGCACTTAATTTACAGATCTGTAGAAAATGGCATGTTTGGTTATGATGTAAACTGATGTTAGGGTGGCAGTAGTAATACAGTTCTGTTGGTTATTGTTGTAGAGTTGCGTACCACTTCGATTCTGACGGAAAGCTGTGTTCCAGCCAGGACAAGGACGGGGAAGCAAGTGATGGGTCCTGTCTTGGCAATGACAAGGAGATCATCACAGCACAGAGTTTGACCATTGTGGAGGAAGATGGGTCCCTGGGTTCGGGCGAGGACCAGGCAGCAGTTGCAGAACTGGCACACACACAGGGACTGCTGGATGCTGGTGATGATGACGTGCAGTACCAGTTTCGTTCTGGAGAGGGTGGTCAGTTCTGAAAGTAAAAAGTAAAGTAAAGCTGTCCCACTATATGCCATGTAGGTGCTTGGGGGGAGAGAAAGTATAGCTCCTACTCATTCTTAACCTTGGCAGTTGTGTACCAATGACAGGCAGTTCAAGAACTGTTTGCTCTGTCTGAAAATTCAGATGCTTAGGCCATACATTTTAAGTGTATGAGATTGTAGTCCATTCATATAAGCGGGAACACGGTCTCCATGTTTTAATAACCAACCAACTAGATGGCTTACAGAACCCGAAAGGTTATTCACCAGATTAACTAAAGCCCTCCATCAGTCCCTGTCTTGGGCCAACAAAATCAGTATCCTTCAACTCATATCTCCCATAGATCCTGTCTGATGCCTGATATTATCCTCCCATCTACGTCTAGGTCTCCCCAGCAGTCTCTTCCCTTCAGACTTCCCGACCAATACCCAGTGCACACCTCTTGCCCCATCCATGTGCACCACGTGCCCCGCCCATCTTTGTCTTGACTTAAATACCCTGACAATACTGGGGGTACACTTTTACTTTTTACTTTTTTGCAATGAAAACTTAAAATTTCAGATAACATTGATATAGTTGAACTTGAGGTGGTCAGAGTTTCTTAAGTACATTGAGCTCAGTACTGTAGACTGACAAAAACAACTTAATTTTAATTTTTTCAGCCACGGTAACATACAGAGTGGTGCAGGTGGGTGGCGGGAGTGACACAGTGGATCCCCTACCGCAAATCGTGTCTACATCTCCTAACTTCTCGGCTACATCAGCAGGGGTACAGCAAGGTGTGCAAGCAGTCCTTACGAGTCCTATCAATGGTGAGCTATTTCATACACGTAGATATGATGTTGCACCATAACTTTTGTATCGCAACTTTGTAACTTCGTTCGTTTTTTCGCCATACCGCAGTTAACTGTATTCACTAGTAAACTGATTCTTAGTAGGATTTTAGGTTTTCATGGTGGTGAGTCCAAATATGGCTGTCTTCTGGGTTGTAGTGCCGTGTAGTCTGGTAGAAGTTTATAAAACATTCATTTTACGTTAACTTTATGGGCTATCCACAAATTTGCTACTTTGTATTGCAAGTGTAAATGAACATTTCTCGTGCAAGTGGTTGCGTCTTTAATGTGTTTGGAACTGCTGCTGTCTTCCGTGTTTAAATGTAAGTTTAGTGGGCTTTCGTTTAACAAATCTTTGTCAGAAAATCATAGTGGAGATGCACTTGGGGATGTAGGACCTGGATGTTCCATTATTATTTATTAAAGGAATCTTCTTCTTTTTTGGCTGTACAACCCAGTTGTGGGTCTTCACCGCCTCCTTTTTCTGAGGTTTTCCTAGTCTTTGAAGTGTGCATTTATGACTGGTGAGTGATAAGCCCACTGCCTCTGCACAATTTCTACTCAATCCTGATTTGTCTGCTAGAGCCATCTAGTAGTGAATCAGGAGAGACTTGGGTGGGAAATGGCCGTTGAATTTTGCTTATGAAACATCTTGTTTCATGCTCGTAAGGTTCTTTTACATGCCGTAAATCTACGACATGGAACCGCCGACTTTACTTCCCCTCCGAAGGAAGTTGTGCTACGGTTTTTTATCACCCTTAAAAATCCATCGACCTCTGCCAGGGTCCAGTGGCGAGCACGTTAACCACTAGTCCACCGAGGGTGACGATTAAATGAATCTTCAAGGAAAAAAATATGAGGGCCTGGACTGGATAGCGTCAGTGGACAGGGTTGTAAGGACACTAATAAACCTTTGGGTTTCATAAAATGTGGGAAATTTGTAGAGTAACTGATTATCTATTAGTTTTTAAGATACAGCGTACTGTTGATGATATGAAAATGTGAATGTGTAATTAATGTAAACTGGCTTCCTGAATGTACCACGAGTGTTTCACCATTAACCATCCAGGACTAACCCAGTGGCATGCCAGATTAAAAGCTGTCTTATTTGTGAGAACATTTCCTGTCTGTTCTCAGGTCAGTTCTACGTGATTGGCTCACCACAGGATGTGTTTGGTACACAGAACCCTCGCTCACTTGCACCCAGAGCAGGCATTCAGATCGAATCAACTCGGGGAGGTGTCTCCGTAAGTGGGGTAAACAGTAACTTTGATTTTTATTTGCTTTATATTAGAATCCCACTTGTGGGTGAGTGGCATGAATTGTTTACTTTTGATATGTGATTTGAAGCTTTCGTGATGACGTAACTCAATAAAATTTTCTCGGGTGATCAGTCGCGTCAGATGGTTAAACGATGACCATCGTTTTATTGTTTAACCATGTGGCACGGCTGATCACCCGAGAAAATTTGAATTTTTACGTTTGATAAAGCCGTTCTAGTTTGTCATTTTCATTGGATTTTGTATATCTAATTTTGACATAGTTTTAAGTGTAGTTCGGTGTTTTTTCTCGACATTTGGTAGTAACTCAGAATACCAGTCACGTCAGATTGTGCAGAAGGATACTGAGGAGATAGAAGAAAAGGAAGCTTCTCGTTCATTGATAAGAATATTATAGACTGGCAACTCTGTTGCTTCATGTAACTTGACAGTAAGTTCATTTTATATTTCATGTACATGTGACTTTAGTTGGCAATCCTTATTGTTTATGGTGTTTACATTGCATTTCTTTCTTATGTGTACCCACCTAACTTGGACACTGTTGTGGGTTGAACAGAGAGATGATAGGAGACGCGCAACACACAATGAGGTGGAGCGCAGACGGCGTGACAAGATTAACAACTGGATTGTGAAGTTGAGCAAGATCATCCCTGACTGTACAACCGAAAGTGCCAAGACTGGCCAGGTGGGTGATGCAAGGGTAAGGTTACAAAGAACAATAAAAATGTTACTTATCGGATTTTATTAGGGTTTTTACTGTGAGACTCGATTACTGAGCTTGCATGTTGCTGTCTACTGTGTTTCAAAGTATATATTGTCTGTAATTTGTATGAAACTCTATATGAACAGTATGCCGTTGAAGAATTTTCACTTTGTATATATGGATGAAATTATGCATGGCATAATGGCATATGGCACATGGTTTATTTTGCAGAGCAAGGGTGGGATCCTTGCAAAGGCATGTGAATACATCGTGGAACTGCGTTCATCAAATCAGCGCCTTGCAGAATGTCTGAAAGACAACGAGCGGCTAACAATGGACATGGAGATAATTCAGCGGCAGAATGAGGAATTGAAGAGGGACAACTCACTGCTGCGTGCACAGTTGTCGCAACATGGTATCATCCCCCCACCTGATTTGAGCAACCCGACAGTGTCCTAGTACAAAATCACCGAGGTTCACGGATGGATTTCATGGTGTGATTTTTTTTACAGAAATGTAGGGTGTGATTGGTTTAACATGTAACCAGTTGTTTAAAGCAGAAGTTGGTAACAGTGGTGCACTCTCTAAACCCCCAGCAGCCTTGGTGCAGCAAGCAGTAATGTACGAGGAATTCTTAATCTTGGTTCAGAGATTTGTTTCTGGTTATCAAGTTTTAATTGATTTTACTATTGTAATGTGTGGAAGAGATGTATGTTACAAAGAAAGCTGCACACGAAAACATGATTGTAATATATTGTAAAAACCAAACAAGAAGAAGCAAGTTCAGTAATAACAACTTATGCGCATGATAGTTCTTTGCAATATCAAAACTGAAGCGCGACTTCCTGATTACAAAAGTTTTGTTGTGTGTGATAGGAACAAATGAACAAATATGAACTGATTGTTCAGGTCTTCGGGCAGTCCTGTGTGGATTATTTTTGTATATGAGTAAGGTACCTGAGTGAAAGATTCCCCCATTTTCGCTAGTTCAGTCGCTGTTGTGAATTCAGTTTGAGATCGGATGGATAGGCAAGAGAATCTTCCGAACTTAGGTGTTTGTTGTAAATGTTACACTGGGGCCTTAGTTGACACATGAATTGCTAGGTTGACCATTATCAATTCAGATTTTTTGTATAAATTATTCTGAATACATGAATATTTATTATATAAGAAGGATATAGTTTTACTTGCACCAAAATTTATATTCATGAGTTATGTTGAGGGAAAGTCTGGCATGATAAAATACATTCCTTTTCATTTTACCAACTGTTGAAGATTTGAGTATGGAAAATGAATAAAAGGTGAGCCAGCTCATTGTGTTCTACATGAACGTAGAATTTGTTATATCGCATTTTCCGTAACCGTGGAATAAAATAGTCGTGTTTAATAGCTATTACGTAATGAAAGTTCTTGTAGGACTCATGATCTTAACTTGTGATGATTTTTGTTTTCTTTCTGATGTCGCAGGAAGTTGATTATAGAAATTCACAAATATTTTACCAGAGAATCAAAAGTTTCTTGTGTTCTAACATTTTTCAGAAAGTTAATTGTATGGGTTGAGCGATGATAAGTGGTCATTTGAGTGGGTGATATGTATATATATATATGCATACTCTGCATCGTGTGGGCGGTATCTTTGAAGCAGGCTAGAGATATAATTTATATAACCGTGTGTGGCCGAGATGTAGTTACGTGACCTGCGTAACTCTGAGTACAAGAAGAATATATATTTGTGTTGGGAATTTTAAATAATAGAATTGAGTACAGTTTCTTTTTATTATTGACGTATTTGACTTCTTGCGCAGAATGATGCATCTTTTTTTCCCAGTACTGGTCTAACATTGCACTGTAATTAAGAAATGGCAGCATTACAAATGCAGTAAATTTCTAGTATGACATTTTTTTGACCTTGTGGATAATTGTGCAGGCCTAACATTTTGTTTTTTGCAAAAGGGAGTGTTGTTGAAAGATTTGATGCTTCGGTAGAAACAGCATATATTGGCGTTTATTCGTGGTTTATTTGTTTTGTTGCTTGACTACTGGAACATTATAGATCCATCATCATGTGAAAAATTATATGGTAAGACATGTGCAGATTATGTTTTGATGTGTCCACTGTTGCCAATCTTGGAAGCAATCTGGTGACCAATTGGCCAGCATTGATGTTGGTATGGGGTGGTTGAAAACCGGATTAGATTGTTGTTGATAAACTATGCAATGATATATATATATATAAATATGAATGGTTTTTAATATTTATTATTACAATATTGAGAGAGAAGAATTGATACTGTTTATATATTTGTTTGTTCTTCATTGAATTGGTTGTATAGGGACAACACTGTAGACTGGGTGCAAGACACAAAGTTGTATTTCATAATGTTTATGGTAGCTGCTGTATGGAAGCTCTATGCATTAACCTTTGCTGCAAGAGTACGTAAACTTAATGGTTCCGTTGTGGCTAGGCACCCAGCATTGAAGGCTTGTAAGGGCTGTCGCAGGTGTTCTCAGTCTTTCCCAGACTGAGGTACAAATTTAGGCAATGTCCTAGGTAAGCGATAAGAAGCGAGCTGTGCGAGCTGCATAAGCAGCATGGGGTGTCATATGACATAAGGGAATCGCTTGTTGTGTCCTGCGTGAGAGAAACACACGGCCTTCCTGCGCATGCCCCTTCCGTGTACTGCACAGGCAGAGCTTTCTTGCGCGTGCGTCTTACTGGCCAGCGCAGCGACCTGCGCGAAAATATCAAAATATTTGATCTCGGGCTTGGCCGCTTCGCTGGAACCTAGGACAGCGCCACACAAACAGCCAATTTGATAAGCTTTCAGTCAGAACAGTTTGTAGAAACTTAATGGAATTTAACAATGTTGCTATCATAAACAGCTTTATGTGCCAATTTTCTTTGGCAAAATCAGTCTGGTGAGATTTAATGGTGTTTTTGATAGAGTAATTTTTCAGAGTCCTGTTTAATTTATATTGTTACATGCACTTGCTTCAGTAAGATGCATCTTAATTCTGACTACATAATCAAGCTGTATTCTCTGATATCAGGGAACTATTTTTCATCATACACATTAACACAGTAGGTTTTAGAATAATGTATGTAGGCCTCGGAAATGTTGGGTGGCTGCATCCTGCCCATCACGAGGCCCCTATCTGTACACAGGACAGCACAACACAGATGTGGACAAACATCCGTGCCTTCAGTGTGATTCAAACCCACAGTCCAAGCACACAAGGCCCACGCCTCAGACCGTGCAGCCTCTGTGACTGGCTCATGCAATGCTTATGTCCCATATTTCCATATTTATGAACTGTAGGGTTTTGTTGAGGGGGGTGGGTATTTTTGACATACCAATTCAAACATTCGTCCTTGGTTACACATAATTCTTGAGATTAAGTCAGATTAGATGCTGGAAGTATATGGTATTGACGTATTTTGTAATGTGTGTGAGGCGGTGCAAATTGTTGCTGGATGAAGTGCAGTGTATTTTGTAATGTGTATGAGGTGGTGCAAATTGTTGCTGGATGAAGTGCATGTAGTGATGAACTGTAAGCAGCAAAGTTCTACAGCATCATTGATTGCTCGCTGGTTCTGCTAGTGTCATTAACTACAGTGCTACTGTTGGTATATGGCTAATATATTTTTGTCAGTTTTTGATATTCTACTCCTGTGAAAGGAGTATGTATCTTACATATTTTAAAATGATACTGTTAGGGCTACATTTTAAGGAACATCTGTTCTAGTAGGTCTGAGTTATGTGCCATGAATTGCCTTCCATACACTGAACCACTATGGCTACTGTAGGCATCATGAAATGCTCGTCTCAAGTAAACTTTTTAGGTATTTCAATATTGACTTGCACCAACTTTACCAAGTTAGATATTATAATCAGCCTTTCAAGTCCATGGAAATGTTATACATATTATATTATTATATGAGTAATATATGAAAATGGTAGATTGACTAGGTGGATCACCATTGTAATGACTTCTACGAAGTGATTTATTTCTCAGTGTGATGAGATGCCTAATTTTATCTGGTGTCAAGACATTTTTCACTAGGTTATCTGCATGCTGATAATAAACTAGTTTTGTTGAGTGTTATATAACTTAACATTTATGTGTGTGCACATCGGTGGAGTCCTTTTGCACTTGTGGATCCCTTTTAACATGGCTGACAGTTTTCAGGATTGTTTGCTAAAACTGGTGCTCTTAAAGTTTGGTCCGAACAAATTATGTAAGATCTTTGTTTTTCATTTTGTTTCAAACAAGAAATTGCACTTTGAACATTTGCTGAGCTGAGGGTGTTATTTTAGCTAGGTAACTGAATGTGATTTACCATTCTTAATTTTTACAACCAGTCAGTGATGCAATCATCAGTGAACTGTGGGACAGCTATAGTTCAGTCTTTGGTTGATTCTTTAGTAAATTTTCTTAGCACCAGAGATTCTTTCCTTGGGTATAGATGTGCCTGGAGCCCTGAAGCTGACGTCTTTCTCCGTAGCCATTGCCAGAAGCTGTTTGAATTTTTTTTCGTACATTGTCTGTGTATGGTGCTTATACAGCTTCTGTTTTCCATAGCCATTGCCAGAAGCTGTTTGAAGTTTTTCTCATACATTGTCTGTATATGGTGCTTATACAGCTTCTGTTTTCCTTCTACATTTCAGTAAGAATATTCTTATCAAGTTCAGTTATGATTGTAAAACATTTTCATAAAATGAAGAGAGGAGAAGTTGTTAAGATGTGTTTATGTTTGATAGGAAATTTCTCGACAAAGTGTTTTCCTCATATGATTTCATATGTAATGTGCCTATGTTTGGGGCACTGTCACTGGTGCAATTAGGCTACACTGTTGCCAACCCTGTATATAATATTACACCTTGGTATTTGTGGTGGCAGCCCTGGAGGTGCAATATGTAGGAGGAATGAACCATTGGAATATTTGTTGTGAATACATATTTAGTGGTTGTTACCTTGCATATTACTGCAAAGTTAAAAATTCTGCACCTCTAAGAACTAAGCAGGTTTAAATGACTGTGATATTAATAAATTGTGTCCAACTTCACTTGACTTTTTTTAGGTGTTTTTGGTCTTTATTGTCCACCAGTTGTGGCTGTTGGCAGATGTCACCACTCTCTGGTAGGGTGCCACTTCTCCAAGATGCAGTTGTTACAATGGACATAGTATACGGGATACATGGCTGCCAACATAAGAGAAGGGTATTACAAAGAATTGTAACTTGTCTGAACCATGCCTCTTCTTTCTTAATTGCTGTTTAAGAATGTATGGTGATATTCTTTTACATTGTATGAAATACGATGTGGGCACTGAAATAAGTCCAGATCTTCATTTGTCTAGGTGACAGAGATTCATGTGCATCGACCTGCTACAGTCTACAGGTTTAGAAGGCATTGTGTGCAACATTACTTTGGCAAATTGTGTTTGTTGTGTTATGTGAAAATTAGCTTTTGTTGGTAATGCATTACAGTATACATGCAGTCATTTTGGTAAAGGTAAAATCACTGTGCCATCAGCATATATGGGGAATGTTCTTTTCATGGCTTCTGGTTCCCTATTTCCATTCATCACCCTGCCTACATATCCAACTGATGTTCATAACTACATACAATACCACACAGTGTCATAACAGAGAAGATCACAATCCAATCTCATCATGACCCAGTTCATGGTTTTGGCTTGCTTTCTTACATAATGTTTCTCCCACCTGAATTTGAAGTTTAATTGTACGTATTTTGGACCAGGAATTCTGTATTTCATTGTAACACCTCATTACATTTAGTGATTGTAAAATTTTAGCAAGCATTCTTGAGATCTTGTATTTGCTATTTAAAGCATCATATCTACAGAAGTGCTTATTTGAGTACTCGAGGGACTGTAGAACCATTTCTATAATGCAGTCTATTACTGACATTAGCTTGTGACAGTGTTACTGAGTGTTCCGTGTAAGTTACATTAGGACTTCCATTGGCATCAAATTTGGTGACTTGTGTCCATTTCCTACCTAATCCTTCTCTTGCTTCCTTTTGCCAGCCTGAGTTTTTTGTTCCATCTCTTTGTCACCATGCAGACTATGTAAGCAGCTCAGTTTCTGGAGTCTGCATCATGTTCATTAGTTTGGTACTACCTCTTGGATCAGTTCACTTGGACAGGTTATAGAAGGAAGTAGTCATAGCCTAATTACATTTATAAATATATATACCATCTGGAACAAAATGTATTCAATGTCAGCAGCTCAGATACCAGCAGTTGTGTGGGTCGCTTGATGAGTACACTCATTATACACAAGATGAAGATAGCTTTATCTTGTTTATATAAGATTAGAATCAAGTAAATTCTGCATTAAAGTTTCTAGACTTCAGAGATACATAGCCAGATCAGCTTGGATACTGCGTGACACAACTCATATAGCAGGTAAGTTTTCAGGTCCTTATGGTGATGTATGAAAATGGCTGTCTTTTTAGATTTTGCAACATGTATTGTAGTAGGCATAGACTGATGTTCCAGAGGAACTAACTGCCTTGGTCTTCAGGGTGATGAGTCCCTAATGATGGAGGCAGTTAGCTCCTCTGAAATGTGAGTTCATATCTGTCACACTGCATGATGCAACATCCCAAAAAAATAGCCGTTTTCATTATGTCTGACAAGGCAGAGATAGATATTTTAGATTTGGATAAAGATCCACAGGTTATGATGAATTGTCTGTGGATATAATGAAAGCAACAAGATCAGTTGGTACATACTGGCTGTATTGCGTCTTTAGGCAAATTTGGATAGAAAAAAGAATACTGGAGCAGTGGTATAAAGGAATAATTTTACCAACTTACAAGAAGGGAGTTTCCTCAAAATCTGTAAGTTTCGAATGTGGATAATGGCTTGGCACTTGCTCAAATTTCCCTGGATAGTACGTAGCTGCCTTATTGTCAGAAGACATAGTTACTCTGAAGTTGTATTTGCCTGTTTGTTGAAAGCTTACAGAGAACTGTTCTTGTTTCAGGTACTTGATTGTAATAAACTAACAAGCAATAAATCTTAACATGGCATTGTGTCATGGATCAGTCATCTTATGTGTGCTATCATCAGCATTACTTTTGGGAAGTATAGTGAGTAGTGAAGAAAGTGCTATAGAGGAACATGGGGGTAACCCCAAGTGTAGGGGTTTGACTAATGAATCAGGAATGTTGATGGTTGACTGCAGTTTGCAGGGCCTGATGTCTGTGCCCACCATCAGCCCAAGTCAGCTGGTGCATATACTAGACATGTCTCACAACATTCTACACAAGCTACATAATGACAGCTTTCATCCTTATCCAATACTCACACGGCTGATACTTTCATCTGACAGTATCACCGAAATTGAAGTAAACACATTTAGCAGACTTAGAGCTCTGAGGAAAGTGGATTTATCCTATAACAGCCTGACATCCATCCATCCTAACATGTTTATTCACAACACAAAACTGGAGTCGCTGTCACTACAAGGAAATCCTCTGCGCCTACTAGAATCCAGAACACCATTTTTAATATCTACATCACTGCGGTCATTGGACTTGAGTCACTGTCACCTTTCAGAACTCAATGAAGAGAGTTTATCTCAGCTTCCAGAGCTGAAGATTCTGAATCTCAGCCACAACAGTTTGAAGCAACTTTTGATGAACAGTATGTCTGCACTTTTTTCACTTCATCTAGTTGGCAACCCTTGGCAGTGTGACTGTCACTTCCATTCTATACTGATGTGGATATCAGCCAATCCAATGGTGGACTCAGATGTCGGAACTGACAAAACAGTCCAGTGCTGGCAGGGGGATAGTCTCAGAAGTCTAACAACAAGGCAAGAACAGGACAGCATCTGCAAGGTAGACATGGGTCACCCTACCAGTCAGAAAATAACACCTGAGTCTGCTGTTGTCAGTAGCAACAAAAATGAAAATATACACAGCAGGGAGGAAGGTGCTGAGTTTGGGATTGAAACATTGTTGGATGATGTTTCCAGTAATTATGATGAATTGGGTAAAGACAGTGGTTTATCTTCTGTCTCCAACAAACATGGTGTATGGATATATGAAGACGAAAACCTAGACATATCCAGTTCTGATGATGAAGATTTTGAAGAAATGCACAAGGATAATATTCCATCTTCTGCAGCTGAAGTTCCTATGGACCTAAATTTGACTGTTACTGTCAAAGTTGGAGAAAATCATAATGAAATTAATAGAGAAGAATCAATAAATTCTACCAATCAGTTCTCAGGAACACATGGTTTTATTCCTGAAGATATTGGTGTTGGTTTTGATGAATTTTATGGTGATTATGAATATTCTGGAGAAATGGACAAGGATATCACCTTACATTTACCAGCAGAAATCCATAGCTTAGACCATCAGAATGAAAAGAATGTCAGTATGAAAATTAGAAAGAATCTTACTGAAATTAGTAAAGGAGATGAAATCAGAGATTCTACCAGCAAATTTTTAAGTTATGGTTCTATTCCTGAAGATACAGATGATTATGAATTGTACGAGTATGATGAGATTCAAGATTCTGAAGAATTGTATGAGGACATTTCACTTTCTTCATCAGAAATCACAAACTTAACACTCAAGGATGATAATCTAATTACTAATGCGCATTATATTTTGGAAAATTCAGATTTACAAGAATTAGACACAAAACATCAAACAGCAATCTCTACATCAGGTTTTTCAAGTCAGAATAATGACTCAGTTATGGATGGCATTGCTTCTGATAGCAGAAGTCTTAGAGTGCCAAACTCACATTTGACTTCCAATGACAAAGATGATACCTTGAATAACAGTCATGGTTATGAGTATAAATGCATATCCTGTGGTGATAATAATGCACTTCCTTCTATCCAAATCCCAAGCTTGAAAAATGAAAGTGCATATGAATTTGCAGAAACATCTATTTTCTTTGAAAATATAAGCTCTGAAGAAACGGCTATTGAAGATAAAAACACAGACTATACCATTCAGTTCCCAAGTATATATGATGACTTTAATCCTGAAGATGAAGGTGATCCATTTGCCTTTGTTCTTGATGATTTAGATTCTATAGAAGTAGCCAATAATGAAACCTTACCTTTTACTACAAATCATCAAGATTTAATTGAAGAAGATAATTTTGATATTGACAGACTAATTGCCTCTGTTCTTAAAAGCTTTTATTCTGAAGAAAATATTCAGGAACATACACCTTTAAAGAACCAAATTAATGATAAACCACTTAATGGGCTGAACCTCAGAATATTCATGATTATAAAATTTCTGATTGTGGCAGGAATGGTTTCAGTGATAGTGTTTATGTTGATAGTGACAATTTATTGTGTTAGCAATATATGCCTTACGTCTATGCGTTCTAGGCAAGTTATTGGCTACAATAGAATGGAAAAGAATGCTTCAAAAGATGTACTTCTGCAGAATGTGTGATGCAATATTTTAGGCAGGATAATGAATTAATCCATGGAATTACAGATATCTCATATTAACAATAATCATAGATATGTGAAATTTTGTATGGAGATAATTCATGAACATACCTACAAATTCTGTATGACTCATACTTCATTATTCATTTATAGTGACAAACATGACAATAGTGCAAAACTTTGAGGTTATATTTCACATATGAAACATAGAGGGAATCTGTAATGGAAATTATAGACAGAAAGGGCAGCCTAAGAAATGGAGAATATCCCTATTTAAAAGTTACTGCATACCCATATTAAAGTAAGGAGCACAGATTTAGCTCCATATAATCTTAATCTCAGCACATATGAAGGTGAGTAGTCAGGCTCCTACCTCAGCCACTTTACTTCTAGAGAGATAGCCCCTGGTACTTGTTGGATAAAATGCTGGGCATGATAATATGTTGACATAGGATGTTGCAATATGCCTTCCAGGTGTGTGTGGTGATTATTTTGCATTTACTAGCAGAGATGTTACATATTCTGAAGAATGGTCTTCTATCTTAAGGCATTATCACTGTCAATAAAATTCTATCTAATCTTATCATTTAAGTTATTTATATTTCTAGATATAGATATTTTATGTATAACTGAAAAATTGTAATTAACATGTAAGGTCTAAGCCTCAAGTTAATTTTGTACTTTTTCAAGCTATCCTTAAAGAGGAGTGTGCTGGTACTGGCGGTGATGGCTGAAAGGGGCATTATATTTTATGTTTACTGCCAAGTGGTATTACCTATTATGTGGAAATGATTAATTTAAGCCTGAATTAAAATTAAAAGACATCCTTATTTTTGCCTCCATTATTTCTCAATTTCTATCAACATATTTTTTTTCCTCTTGTGACATGAAGAAAGATGTTGGTATTGTATACTGCTGTGTGCTGATAGGAAAAAAGCCTTCCCCCTGTAATAATAGTTTCAACATGTTGACTCCTACATGATTTTACACTGCTGGAATGAACTAATTTTTGTGGAGTTCTGACATGTTCAGCTAACTCCATGATGCTGAATCCTTCATGAGAAGCAAGTCACAAAATTCTCCACCTTTTACAGAACCCGAAGGTTTATTATCTTGTTCACAAGGACCTGCTACTGGACCCTGTTCTGATCCACTTGAATCCATTCTATTAATACATCCTTATACTCTAACATAGTTAATCTGTTTATTGAACACAAGAAGCATGCTACTAAGGCAACTATCATAATGTAATAATACATTCATTCTTTTGTTGTAAAGAAAATTATGAATAACTAAAATATGTGACATAGTTCAATGTTTGGAGGAACTGGGTAACTGCAGAAAGTACTTTATCTGTTTTAGAGTGGCGGTGGTATGAGTAAATCATTGTTCTGTACAGTGCATCATGGTGCAAATGTTACTAAATCTGAAAAGGGAACCCACTGCTACCAAAACCCTCTATTTAGAGTTCACATGTCTGAACCATTTCCACCCTGATATTTGAAGCAGTAAGTGCCTCTGAGACATTGGTGAACTACTGGAATACATAAGGCAACATCGCAGACAGCTGCCTTCTTTTCCATCATCATAACCTATATAAAATTAATCTTAATGCTTCTAATCAGGATTATGGTCATTAAAATGTATTTATTCTGTCAACCGAATTAGATTGGTGGGGAGGGGCCTGCATAAGCGAGCTACCGTCACGGAAATTGTTGTTGGCATTCATCTGTGTTCATAACCCTATAACTTGGGCAGAAAGCTTTCAAGTACGAACAATAGATGTCAACAAATATTGTGGCGGAGCACGTTCAGTTTCTTCCGCAATGTAATCGTATCATAGCGTATTGATTGCTTTAGAAATGCACTCTTGGAATAATTTCAACTTTGCATCCGTAGAGCTCGCTAGTTTCGTAAAATCTGTAAAATTACGCATGTTTTTTTTTTGTAAAAATGTAAGGTTTGCGACAGCCGTCTAGTAGGCTAACAGAACAAGTCTGAATAATGGTATCTATAATAAAAAATCAACTTTTGAAGCACTTATCAAGGTAATGTAAGAATTATAAACGTCAGTAAAATGTTGTTGTGATGATGACAACATTACTTTATTATGAAAATTTGGCCTTTTTCGAGTGGGATGGAAGTTGAATACATATATTTGTTAGTTTCAATATAAATTCTGATAAAGATCTCAGATATTACTGTATTGGCCTTTAAAATATGGTTAGCAACGTGTTTAACCTATCTAAAGATAATTTTGTATAGACTAAAGAAGCACATTTGTGTACAGTAGTAACATATTCTTGTCTTCACATAATTCAGAAGGACTTGTCATTAGAATTTAGCTACCATAGAAGTTAATCATCCTGTCACATATGTGAACTATGCTTGAAAATGAAAGGATCATGTTATTTGGCGTTCAGGGATAGGACACATCGAATGTTGATAGTTTTCCAAAGATTCTGCAAACATTGCAGATACTGTCTTTAGGGTGAATATATGGAGGTGGGCATTTTTGGAAGCATTTTCGGCCAGGCAGTAGGTTGCAAGTTGGATTTGATCATCCCGATTGGTGGAGTAGAGGTGTGGGCTGATATCTAATGGGAGAAGAGTTTGCAGATGAGGAAAGTTGTTTAGGTAACAATGTTAATCGGGAACGATTTTCAGAGATTATGTGAAAAGGAGATGAGGTTATTCTTTGACCTTTAGGTTTGAAGACTGGGTAAGATTCAGAGATTATGTGAAAAGGAGATGACCTTTAGGTTTGAAGACTGGGTAAGAAGACTGGGTAAGTGAAAACAGCCTCTTTCAGGGCCAGGTAAAGGACAGTAGATGACAGAGGAAGACCTGAAATCTATGAGAATTGGAAAGGAGTGATAACTCTTTTAGTGATCGTATGGCAACGAGAAGAAGTGATAAGATTTATGACATGTATGGGGAGGAATGTTAGTCACTATTTAGGGATAGTTGTGGTAGGGTAGCTGGTTTGGAAGAAAACCGGTGAAACCAGGCTCTGCTTACCATCTTCATGGTTGAAGTTCTGTAGGTGTTTAGATATCTTGATTGCTTCCCTGATTATGTGGGAATGGCAGCTGTGGATGTCCTTTGATGGGAGGTTTTGATCTTTCATCAGAATAGAGATAGGGGCCTCTATATTCTGTGAAATGATGTCAGACTTGCCTGCCATATTGATTGAAAGGGAATACATACATATATTATTGCAGTATTACCTGTTAACCCTGTGTCTTTTCCATTTATATCATAGCTGCCTTGTGCCAATAGATAAGTTTTATAAAATCTTTGCCAAAGATGCATAAAACTAATATAAAGTATGATGCCATGTCAGTCTGTATTTCCAGAAGTACCAGACAGATTTTGGTGTTATTGGAGAGGTGAACATTGAAATTTGTCAAGAAGTTAAGATTTGTATTTAATATCAAATTTAAATGGACATTAAAAAAAGGAATTTCTGGATCCTTATGTTGATGGAATTAATATTTAAATGTATTTCCAGCCACAAGATGACAGATGTACTTTAAGATGTTATTGTTATTGCTGTCATTACTTTCCTAAAAAAAATTGCCTTTACAGAAACAAATTATTTCATTTTTTTGTACTTAAAGTGCTATTCTGTATGTATCACAAACTGTCATGTGGAAGATTTTATGAAACACAGTGATAGCAATTTCCTGTATTTGATTAAGTTAGTGTTTCTAAAAGAGTGTTTTATCAGTCCTTCTTTGTTTAAATAACCTCAAAAACCATATAAGTTGAAATACTTTAATTGGTTTTTAAGTCAATGAACTCACTGAAAAATGAATTGTAAAAAGCTAGGCGATGTTTGCAAATTCTAAGGTGAACATTTACTGGTCAATCATTATTCACTTGCTGTCTGAACCATTCTCTGCATGTCTCATATATTTCCATTTCAGATTCACCAAAAACTTATCAGCAGACAAAATCAATCTCAGCACATTCAAAGGTGAAGGTGAGCTGTCTAACTTGGAACTTGATGAAATTGTGCTAACAGAATTGCTAGAGTTACCATCATGGTTAAGGCTCACTAATGCATGGTGCAACCGCGTGTCTTTCCGTATTCAGTGGACCAAGCTGAAAAGTGTACCAATATTTCTGGTAAGTTGGTGTTGAAATAAATATGATTCTAACACCTTCTCCTTTTTTTTTGTCATTTACTGTTTTTTACTTTTATTTTTCAAATATCTTATCATATTCGGTTTTCCCCTTCCCCCCTGTGGTACAGATACACAGAAACTGGTCTTTTATCATCTGAAGGTGTTTAGTATTTGACAGTATCAGACAAAGGAGTTCCCTTGTGGCCATCTTTTGAAAGTACTGTCTGTTGTGGTGACTTTACACAAATTGAAGTTTAAGTCAAATGAATGTATGCACACAAAAGAAAAGCCATTTATTTTGATTTAAGAACTCTTTGTGCACTGTACTTAAATATGTTTATATACTTCTGTGCACTAATTTGCTGGTAGAATTTTCTTAACGTGATTGTATGCAATAACATTGGTACTGTGTGATGGTTTTCATCATGTTTACAGAGTTTGGATGAAGTCCACATACAAGTAGAGACATGTGAAGAGCTGCGTTCAATGTCTACACAGCAAGGTCTGTCATCGTATGGCGGCAATGCAAAGTATAGTTTTATCAACAAGGTGATAGATGGCATGACTGTTTCTGTCAATACTGTACAGGTTACCTTCAAGAGTCCAGCATTCATAGCCTCAGTTCAGGTGTGTAAATCTAATTTAGCTGTATTCTGCCCATTTTTTCATATTTGTATGTGTTTGTTTAGATTTAATTTTGCGAGAGGAAAATTCCACCCATATGTCTGTTTTATGATGCTGTATGGTCTTGTAGGTGATTACAAATGTTTTTTTAGGATGTTTTAACTTCATATTCAGGGTATAAGGAGGAGATGATACATTCCTGTGAAATATTCTTCACCACGTGCAAGTCTAAACAGTGTCACAACCCAAAATAAAACAACAAACATTTTCATTGCCATGAAAACCTCAAATCTCATACAAAATTGCTTTACCTTGGAGACACATCACTTAGACATTTAAATTTTATTTTGTGGAGCTAAGAGTAAGTGTAATTGTTTCCTCCATAATTATGCTTGATAGTTCATAATCACTGTGTCATTTTCTAATTAGCACACATCATAAACAGTCGGGAACCGTAATGTCATGATATATGTGAACATGTCTGTAGCATTATGTTCTATTGCTTTTTGATTTTGTTTTTTCTATATTATTACTTACAACCAGTGGTATAACCATTTTCTTTTCGGTACTCTAAATACTGTGTGAAATTCTTCATTCTTTTGTTTCTACCAATCAAGTAAGATGATCTACTGGAAATTAAATTCAGAATTACGTATCTAAGGAACTGTTACAGCCCACAAAGTGTGTTATTTCTGATCATATCACACTAGACAGCAATATTAGTTTTCTAGACACTGCTGAACATTTTAATGTTTAGTACTCGTATACATGGAATTTTGTTTCAGAATTATGATTTTTTTTGTAGAGTGTTATATTTTGTGAAAAATGGCCAGGCTACTGGATTGTGAAACCTTCATAAGTTGTGGTCTCACTGTTTTAACAATTTCTGTTACTTCATTCTGAGTTTTAGGAATATGACATTACTAAGAAGTAAAAGGATGTAAGACTTGAGGTTCTCACAGCGGTGAGTATGAAGATATCCGTCTTCTGGGTTATTGCGCTGTGTAGTCTGGTCGATGTTAACCAACGTTTCAGAGGTCATACTGCCTCCGTCATCAGGGCGATGAATA